GAATTCAGACGTAAACAAAACACAGGCCTTTTCACAGAGCCCTGGAAATCAGCCAGCGTTTTTTAGTCTTAGGAAAGCAAGAGAACAGAAGGACTGGGGAAGCCAACACTAACCTTCATCCAATCATGTGTGACTGATCACTTTCTTAAGTCAGGTATTTTGAATGATTATTAATCCCACTCTTTTCTGCCCTTCCATGGGTAGGTTTGCAACCAACCAAGACGTAAGACAGAGGACACAAATAGAAACCAAAATATCATCTTCGAAGGTGAGTTAAAGAAAATGACTTTACACCTATGGCCACAGTGGACTTGCCAGCACTTCATTTCAGGGATCGATTTACCCATCCAGTAAATGGGCTGACCACAACATGCCTGCCACACAGCGCAGGGCCTACCCTGGGAGACATACCACCTGGGACTAGGTCCTGAATATGTCCTTCCTGAAGGATCCCAGATAATACAGAGAAGGCTGAGCTCAGCATGCTCAGTTTTTTCTCTGAAACCTGCCTATCAGGTAAATCACTCCTCTTCTGGAGACTAGTTAGTGAAGGTGCATAAAGACCAGCATGTTACTTCTGCCGACATCCTCACATGTAAGGACGTGGGACGAAGGGAATGGAGGTTCCCTCAAAACCTAGTACATGCATGCAAAGTTAAGCTTGTTAATAAACCTAATGACTTAGTGAATGTCTTAGTCTGCCCAGGATATTCCAACAAAATACCATGGACTGAGTGGCTTAAACAGCAGACATTTATTTCTCACTATTCTGGAGGTAGGATGTCCAAGGTCAAGGTGCTGCCCGGTTCAGTTCCTAGTGAGAGCTCTTTTTCTGGCTTGCAGACAGCTGCTTTCTCATTGTGTGCCTACATGGTAGAGACAGAGAGAAAAGACTCTGACCTCTCTTGCTGTTCTTATAAAGGCACAGGATTTGTTTAAATCTGATTACTCCCCAAAAAGCCACCTCCTAATACTGTCACATTGGGAGTTAGGGCTTCAACATATGAATTTTGCCCCTAACAGTAAACTTGGGTTGGATAGTCCCCTAGCTCCCATGGAGACCACAGTAGAAAGAGCCCTGGCCCTGGTGTCCACATACCTAAGTTTAAATCTGGACTCAGTCCTTACTAATCAGGCAACCTTGAGCAAATGATCTTATCCCTGCAGGCCTGGGGTCTGTTCTCTGAAGAATGAGGATGATGACGCTCAGCCTACTGTGGAGATTTGTTGGGAGGACCAGATTCGAGCTTGAGTATGGTCAGATGGGAGGGACTGTGTTTGCTGTTGTCATTATTCCTGATGTCACCTGGCCTCAGAGCTCTTCTTCCTGAGAAGGCAGAGCGGAGTGCATGAGCCCACCTGCCTCCAACCCTAACCCAGAAATCATCTTGAAATCTAGCACCACTGAAAAACTTAAAGAGGAAAACTTCCAACCACAAAAATCAGTTGAATCCTCTGTTTTAGAAGGTCTGTCATGAGCCTGTTCCAGACCTTTGCTGACATCTTAGCATGTAAGAACATGGGATGAAGGGAATGGAGGTTCCCTCAAAACCTAGTACATACATACACGGTTAAGCTTGTTAATAAGCCTAATGACTTACTGAACGTCTTAGTCTGCTCAGGCTATTATAACAAAATGCCATAGACTGAGTGGCTTAAACAACAGACTTTTGTTTCTCACTGTTCTGGAGGTAGGACATCCAAGATCAGAGAACTGAACATTGCGGATTCTCCATCTTTCCAACAACTTCTAAAAAAATTTTTTAAGTTTATTTATTTTTGAGAGAGACAGAGAGTGAGCAGGGAAGGGGCAGAGACAGAAGGAGACACAGAATCTGAAACAGGCTCCAGGCTCTGAGCTGTCAGCACAGAGCCCAATGTGGCCCTGTGGACGGGGAGATCATGACCTGAGCTGAAGTCAGTTGCTTAACCACCTGAGCCACCCAGACATGCCTCCAACAACTTCTAACCCTTTGGGTGGCTCAGGGAAGATTTCATGACACAGTCAACAAAAGCACTTTCTATCTCTGTCTTCTAACTCTGTCTTCTATGCTACACTACACTATACCACATACTACACCACAGTGCGTGCGCACACACACACACACACACACACACACATTTAAATACACACACACACACACACACACATATTTAAATACACACACACACACACTTAAGCACACACACCAGAGAATCCATCTCAAGTCTAATGGCTTAGTTGTTTTTCAAGTACAGAGAGAATTTATAAACAATTCCTCAGAAGTTAAAGGAGAGAAAAAAAATCTTCTATCCTGCTCAGATCAGATTAAAAAAAAAACAAACCCTAAGAGTCAAGCTTTCTCTTCCCCTGAGATATGATTATGATTTCTCTCGTCTCTTCTCTCAGTGGTTTCATGTGCACTAATACCCGATGTGGAACTTGTTTGTGCTGCTCTCTGATATCTGCTTCTCCTTCCAGGAGAGGATAACATTGCCATTTCCTGGCTCCTTGGGGCTGGATGCAGCCAGGTGGCCAGTCCTGGTCAATAAGTGGACAGCAGAGATGACACATGTTGCTTCTGGGCCCGAGCATTTAATTCTTTGGCAGCCACTGTGAGTTGTCCAGAACTCTGGCCTGTGGTGATAATTGGCAACATTCAAGATGGCGGCTGCTTTATCAAGCAGCCAAGGTCCCTCATAGGGAAACAGGGAGCAGAGCCTCCTGTTGACCTATAAACAACATGTAGTTGAGCACGAAAGTAACCTTCATTGCCGTGAGACATTAGGATCTGACAATTGTTTGTTCCTGCAGCTTAACATGGCCTATTTTCTCTGATGCACCCCTAACAAATGAAAAAAATTCAAACCAATTGTCCCGATGTTTTTTTTGCCCTAAAGAACCCAAGCTGGCCATGGATGACACCAATCCATGGGAGACTGAAAATATCTCTGCTCTGCAGTGTCCACTTGCATGGCCTCACCTAAAGAGAAGACCATGTTTCCCAGAGAACTGATTTAGCCTTTAAATTAAACATCAGGCTGCTTCCTCTACCGCATGGCAGGTTTTCATCTCCTCTGAATAATTTTTTAGCAACTTGAGAAACTGCAATCCAAACATATAGTATTTTTGGCTGGAAATTAAAACACGTCACTTTTAAAACATAAGCAGCATGCCCTGAATGTTTATGGTAAAAAGCTCACTCCTGGCCAGACTGCAAAGCTCACATTACCGAGAGGCAAACCCTGGAGCATGCTAGCAGCTTGTCTCCCAGTCCGTCTTTCCTACACAGTGCAATGACTGTGAATCATTTCTCCTCTGGCACATGCACTCCCAGGCTTTATGACTGCTTTCATATCAGAGGCGACTGGCTAGAATGTCCCCTTGCTGGAAGGGGGCAGCTATGGCAAGGGAGAGGCAGGTTGCTGTCCATTGCATTGCCCATGTGATGAGCCAAGGCTGCCGGTTCAAACAAAGTTTCCAATGACACCACACTGAAGGCTTAACCATGGAGCCTCCTGTGGGAGAAGCCTCCTTATTCCTTTATTCGCACATCCATTTATTTCATTTATTTACACATTTGTTTGCTAATGTCTACAATGAGCCAGGTTCTATGGAAGGTGTGGTGAGGGACCCAAAGATGAAGACAACATAACTCCTGCCTCTTAGGAAGTTGTAACCCAACAATGGATGCCCTTGGTAACACAGGTCATAAGAGAAACTGACATATTATGGGAATTTAGAGGAAGTCAGTGCAGGAGAGGGTCCATGAGAGAAAAGGGGGCGAAATGAAAATCTCTATGAGCTACCATATGTCACTCCATTTTTACCACCCCCTAACGAGGTGATAAAACATACATTAGGTGTACACACTGAGCTTCAGAGATACAAAGGGATTTTTCCAGCAAATGGTTAGTTGAAAGGGTTACATTTCACATGCAGGTTCATCTGACTCCAAAATCTTGTCTGGTGAGTAATGTAATCTCTCTAAGCCACAATTTATCCATCTATACAATGGAGATAAAATAAAAGTACTGATCTCACAGAGTTGTTTTGAGGATCACATGAGATCATCTATGAAGATAAAGTTCTTAGACTGGAATGAAGTCTCAGTTCTTTGTTATCAGGTGTGGTAAAGGCCCAATGCCTGTTAGAATATTATCATTGAGCACCTACTGTATTGCAGACACTTTCTTGGTACTTCACAAATATTTATTCTCCCTTCCCTTTAAGGATGGGGGGGGCGGTGAAACTCAGATAAATAAAACAACTTGCCTAAGGACATCTAACTGATAAGCAATAATGCTTTGAGGTTAGGACTGAGATCCACTGGACTTGAACATGGATGCACTTTCCACCAGGCCAAGGCATCTTCCAAAGCTAATTCAGAAGATCAGAAGTCCCCAGGAATGGATAGCATTCATCACTGTATTGTGTATTATGCAGTGCTCAAGAGGATAGGCTTTGTATTGCCCAGACAGCTCTACATTTTACCAACATTGGGCAAGCTGTTTAACCTCTCTGAGGTCATTTCCCATCTGTAAAAGAGAAAACAATAATAGGATGTAACCTCTAAAGCTCTGTTGGGAGGATTAAACAAAAACAAGCATATGGGGTGCTTAGCAAGATACCTGGCACATAGAAAGTTCTTAATGATTGTGACTGCTGTTGTTGATGGTGATAGTGGTGATGGTGATGATAGTGAAGGTGATGATGGTGGAGATAATGGTAATGATGATGATGATGGTGATAGTGATGATACTGATGATTATAATGATGATGATGATGGTGATGATGTGATGATTGTGACAATGGGATGATGATGGTGATGGTGATGTGGTGATAGTGATGATCTGACACACAGCCTGTGCAACACACCCATGGAAAGTGACACAGAAGAGGGAAAACTATATTTACACCAAGACCATTGTCTTTGCCAGAGCACACTTCTGGTTAAACAAGGAATATTTTGGATGCAAAAAGTTAAATAACTGTGGAGATTGGTGATACCTACCAGAATTAGCATGCAAAGAAAATGCATTTTCAAGGCATTGCTTCTTTATGTGACTTCTTAAAATGTTGGTTGGCAACAAAGCTGGAATTCTCTTATCAAAATGAAATCTGTAGAATACAATTTTCAGCTCAAACAATGTGGTTTATACAAAGCGCCACCCTTTCAAGTCAGATGAGGAAATATAAAACTGTTCTATAACGGATATATTGTTTGCACACAAAAAAACATATGAATCCATGTTTCATGCCAGGCCTCGTTTGGCATCTTCAGTAAAAGGGGAAAACTTTCTTTTCTCCAGAGGAAAACCCCAAAGAGACTTAAGTACCACATTAGCTGTCCGCTTCGCTCCTCCCCAAACGTCAAAAGACCATACCTACCTTACTCACTTGGATGCCAGGTTGCTGGGTGGCAGGGACCTGGCATTTTTCACGGTGGTTCCCTTTCATTAAACTGAGGTGAGTATGGATCAGTCTCCTCAGCAGTGACTTCAGTTCTACAGAAACGTGTGGAGAGCCCATTAACTCCACCATGAGGAAATCTAGAAAGGTGGGTAAGACCCTGCCTTGACCTCAGTGCACTCGGCATCTAATAGTGTGGGGACAAGGCAAGTCCATGAGGCAAAACCTTACTGTCACAGGACAATTGTGCATACAACCCTCTCCCCTACGGAGCGCCCGCTATGTGCCAGGCACAGGGATAAGCATGGAGGAGAGAAGAGCGAGAAGACCCACTTCCTGCCCTCAGGAAGATCAGAGCCCACATGCTTTAGGAACTCCGTGGCATGAAGCTCATGGGAAACCAGAGAAGAGTTTGGGAGAAGATCTTAAAAGAATGGTAAAAATCAACACATGGCAGTGTTTTCTTTCTAGGCACCAGGACCCAAAGTCACAGGGCAGAGTCTGATCAGTGGACTGTAATCACTATGTGCTCAGTGACCCATTGCCCACCATTGAGATTATGGCCTCCATGGACTGCTGTTGGCATGAAGGAGCTGTCAGCATTCTGCCCTCCGTTCCTTTCAGCTCCTGGCTGTCCTGTGAGAATTCCCTTTTCTATGAGATTCGTTTAGAGAGAGGACACAACTCTCTTTGAGTAAGTCCATCACCCCTCTCCCTGCCTAGGTTCAGCCGCTCTGGAAGGGCTTCACTGGAGAGATAACATTTAAAGGATTCCAGCCGAGTTAGGAACAGAAGGGGGAGTCTTAGAGGATGAAGAAACTGCAAGGCAAAAGGCCTGAGGCAGGAAGAAGTTTGGTGAGCTCAAGGAACCCAGAGACTAAGAGAAACAATAGAAATGAGAGCAGAATTAGGCTGGGACCAGAACCCATGAGGCCTTGAGGCCATTGCAAGGGGTTTGGAGTGTATCCTGACGCTATCAGAGGGTTGTAAGCAAGACAGTGGGGTGAAACTGTTTATTTTTAATTTTTTTTAATGTTTTATTTATTTCTAGGAGAGAGAGAGAGAGAGAGAGAGAGACAGCGTGAGCAGGGGAGGGTCAGAGAGAGAGGGAGTCACAGACTGAAACAGGCTCCAGGCTCTGAGCTGGCAGTCAGCACAGAGCCCGACGCGGGGCTGGAACCCACGAACCGCGAGATCATGACCTAAGCGAAAGTCGGATGCTTAACCGACTAAGCCACCCAGGCGCCCCGAAACTGTTTATCTTTAAAAGTATCCCTCTGACTGCTGGGTGGCTAATGGACTGCGGGGAGGCAAGACAGGAAGAAGGGGAATCAGCGAGGGGTGATCGCTTCAGCCCACGGAGGGCAGCTACGACCACAGGAGTATCAGTGACTTTGGAGAGAAAAAGCTAGAAATGGTATACAATTTGCAGGTAGCGTCTGTTGGATTTGCTCCTTCCTGGGAGAAGTGAGGGAAAGAAGAATCCAGAATCACTCTTGGGCTTGCACGTTGAGCAAGCGTATGAACAGTGCTATTTAATGAGTCAGAGTGGAGAGTGTTAGTACCAGGGCCAGTTCAGAGAGAGCCGTGTTTTGGTAGAGGAAAACAACCAGGGTTTTATTTGGAGCCTGTAAGTTTTGAGATATCTGTGAAACACTCAAGAACCCACATGGGGCAGGGTGCTGCTTGGGGTGCTGGAGCTAGGTGAGCAGGAAAGGGCCCCCAATCCACGTTCTGACGTCTCTAGCATATAGAGGATATTTAAAGCCAAAGATTGGATTGTCTCCTAAGAGGAGACACAGACAGAATAAAAAGTCCAAGCGCTAAAGCTTAGAGTGTGATATTTAGAAGTCAAGCCCTCTGAGACAAGAAAGACCCCGAATGTTCCTCTCCTTCGCGCTTGCGTGCCCCACCGCGGTTTTCTGCAGAATAAACCGCAGAGGGAAAACCAAACCTATGAAGACTGTTTTTAACCTAATTTGAATACTGTATGTACATAATTAAAAACATTTGGCCCCAAAGATTAATAACTCCTTTTACATCTTCCTTTGACAGTCGCTCTGATTTGCCGGGCGGGGCGGGCGGGGCGGGTGCTTTCTGAGTTGATTAACACCTCCACGTTGCTTTGAGCAAAGTGTGCGCCTGCGACAGAAAATGCCACATTGCAGATGCCTGACTTGGGGACGGGACTCTGACTTCACGCCTCCCGTTAGAGGCAGAGACTCACTTCTGACGGAGGGAAAGTATTACAAAAATATATATGTAACACATATTCTATTCCTGATTTAGGTCTATAATCTTATGAGCCAGACTGTAATGAATAAAGTTATAATTAGCTGGAGATGAAGAACACGCAGCCGTGTTTTCTAGGGTGCACTTTGAGGCTCCGATCCAATCTGCACATTTACAAGCTGTGCTATTCGCATCGACTTCTACGGCCTCCACTCAGAGACAGAAGAGGCTGCATTATTGATGACAGTGTGCGCATCTTGCTTATCTCTCTACTATACCCTGTGGGGTGTGGAAGTGCAGGAGGAGGGAACAGCCAGGAAATCCGGAAAACACTACCCCATCCTCACAGAATAGTTCCCTAAATAGCAGCATCCATGTCTAGTCTAGGCCAGAAAACCTCTGGCATCTTCCCCAACTGGATCTACAGGCTTGGGCTTTGGGATGTAAATTCACACAAATCACTGTGACACGTGCTGTGTGACCACAGGCAAGCCACTTCCCCTCTCTGGGCCCTGAGTTTCCATTTGGGAGATGAGAAGTTAGGCTTGAATATCTCTAAGGGTCTCTCCAGCTTCAAGAGCCCAAGGTTCTATGATTCTATTGAAAGAAAACTAAATCAGAGAGGCCCCGAGCAAGTTCCTGGGGGACCAGGCCTTACCCCATGCTGCCAGGGAGCCTAGCCCCCATACGCCTTCTCTGTGTTTTGATGTGCTGTGAAGTAGTGTACTGGTAAATGTTTAACAACGGGTTCTCCAGTGAAAAAGCTCTGATCTGCAATGTTTGCCAATTTCTGTGGTGTGAATACTCCCACCAAGGAGGATTTCAACCTACCAACATGATGGCACCAAGTACGGAGTTGAGAAAAGATTCACATAATCAACTTTCATAGCTGGCACTGCTACCGACTGTAACACACCACTCATGGTATGTGTTGGGAGCAACTGGCAAGTCACCCCCTCACTCTTCTCCTCCACTTCCCCTGGTCACAAAAATGGTAGGCGCCAATGCCACTGTAGCAGGCGGCCAAGAGAGTGGCTTTGAACTTTTCGGAGAGTTCTCTTGCAATATGGATCTCAAAATGGCTGGAGCCTCAAGGTTAAGGGAACAGGCTCTTGAGCCAGACATCCAGGGTCCAAATTCCAGTCCTGCCACTTATGAGCTGTGTGGCCTTGGTTTAGTGGCTTAACATCTCTGGAAAAGATGTAAATTGGGGATGGTAAACGTACTATCTTCATAGTTGTGTTAGTTGGCGTGGGGCACCATAAAATGCCATAGCGTAGGTGGGTTCAGTAACAGGAGTTTGCATGTTCAGTTCTGGAGGCTAGAATTCCAAGCTCAGGGAGCCAGCACGGCTGGGTTTTGAAGGCTCTTCCCTGGTTTAGCAGACGGTCACCTTCTCACTATGTCTTCACATGTTGGACAGACAGCTGTGGTGTCTCTTCTTTTAAGGACACCATTTTTACAGGATCAGGGTTCTACCCTTACGATCTCATTTAGCCTGAATCACCTTAAAGCTCTTATCCCCAGTATGTCACATGATGCAGTTAGGCTTCAATTTATAAATCTGGGGGGAACACAATTCCCCCAACGAAACAGAGTTGTTATGAGGACTGAGTTAGTGCAGGAAATGTGCCTGGTGCATGGTAAGCCCTCAATAGATGTCAGCTATTATTACGCATATATAGTGTATAGTATATATTGTATAGTACATGCTATATATTATTATATATTTAAGATGACCATTGATTTGTTTCAACCACAGAATCAATGATAAGACCAAAAGAAGGAAAAGAAAAGTAACTTTGGGGCGCCTGGGTGGCTTAGTCGGTTAAGCGTCCGACTTTCGCTTAGGTCATGATCTCGCGGTTCGTGGGTTCGAGCCCCTCGTCGGGCTCTGTGCTGACTGCCAGCTCAGAGCCTGGAGCCTGTTTCAGTCTGTGACTCCCTCTCTCTCTGACCCTGCCCTGCTCACGCTGTCTCTCTCTCTCCTAGAAATAAATAAAAATATTAAAAAAAAAAAAAAAAAAGAAAAGTAACTTTGGCGCAAGGTTTATGAGGCTAGGACTCAATTTTCTTGAGAGAGCCTAGGACCCAGCCTGGACCATCACATGTCCAGTCCTGATGGCCAGTTGAATCCAGCCATTCTTCTAGAAGCTCTGGGATAATCATCAATGCAGAGTTAGAAATCTGAGGAACAGCATTCAGTGTGCTAGTAGTTTTGTCCCCTTTGGGGACCCCGTGGCTGGTAACTGGACCAGCACAAAGGCCTAGAGTACTCCTCGCCTCTCCTACCTGCAAACCCAGGAGGCCCCATTCCCCACACTGCGAGTCAGACTCTGGATACTAACCATTCCAGTTTCCAGATGAGCCACCCCCCCGATAACAGCGGAGTCTACTGCAGCTCCATGTGGCTGGCTCTCCACACAGCCCCACTGACCTCAGAAGATTCACTTGAACTTTGGGAAGAAATGAGGTGAGGAAAGGAAAAGTTTGGATGAGAGGAAAAGTAAGAAAGGAGGAAAGGGAGTGCCCAGTCGGTGAGCATCCCCTAGTTTCCAGGCATGGGGCCACACACCTTGTGCCCATCCACATCCTGATGGAAGCTCCCAACAATTACCCTGAGAGACATTCTAGAGAATTTCCATAGCCCCGCAACTATACTCCTAGGTAGATGGCCAAATGAACTAACAAAGGGCACTCAAATACTTCTGCACAAGTTTTAATAGCAGCATTATTCATAAAAGCAAAAGGCAGAAACAAGCTAAATGCCCATCAGCATATGCATGGACGAACAAAATGTGACACACACATATGCTGGAATATTACTTGATCATAAAAAGGGAGTGAAGTGCAGATTCATGCTCCAAGGTGGAAAAACCCTGACATTACACTAGGTGAATGAAGCCACACACAGTCATGCACTGTCTGCTTCCATTTATCTGGAAAATCTAGAAATCCACAAAGAGCAATTGATGATTGCCAGAACCTTAAACAGAAGGGAGGAATAGGGGCGACTGATTGACAGGTACAGGGTTTCTTTTGGAGTGATGAAAATGTTTCAGAACTTAATGTAGATGGTGGCTGCCCAACGCTGTGAATGCACTAAGTGCCATTTAGTTGTACATTTTATTAAGCTTATTTATTTATTTTGAAAGAGAGAAAATGAGCAACTGAAGGAGGGGCAGAGAGGCAGAGAGGCAGAGAGAGAGTGACAGACAGAGAGAGGGAGAGAGAGAGAGAGAATGAATCTCAAGCAGGCTCCACGGTGTCCGTACAGAGCCCATTGTGGGGCTCGATCTCATGAACTGTGAGATCATGACCTGAGCCAAAATCAAGAGTTGGATGCTTAACTGACTGAGCCACCCAGGCAGCCCTAGTTATACACTTTAACATGGTTCCTTTAAAGCTATGTGAATTTCACCTCAATTTTTTAAAAACCCATTCCACACCCTGGGTATTTTTGAATTGTTATTAATTTGTCCTACAAAAAATGACTTTAGCTATTTACAAGAAACTCAGAGCTCCACTTAAAAGTGAAGGTAGGTGTGAGCCCCAGTTTCTTTTCCTAATCACCCACATCAGAGGCCCAGCCCTGGGAAATGAGAGGCACGAGGAACTTACAATTCTTAACTCTGCAGACGTGCCAGGAGCAGGCCTTTTACTTACTCCGTTCCATTTCCGCATTTTGCCAGACATGCTACCCCTTGCTTTGCGTTTATGACAACTCAGATTTGTTCTCCAGGCAGCCTCGAAAAACTCATGGTAAGGCTCTTATTCCCATTTTACAGATGGGGAAACTGAGACTCTTCATTGTCAGGACCTGGTTTGGAAATCAAGTCTGCCTGACTCCAGAGCCTTAGACTCTCGTATCAGGTATCCCCGAAAGGTATTGGAAATCTCAGCCAATACCCACAGCCACAGCCGCCATCAATGTGGGCCCTGGAGGGTAGGGGGTAAGGAGGGAGGAAACAGGGGCCCCGTATGGCTCAGCCATGTTTACCTCTCTCAGGTTCCCCTTTCCTGTCCTCTACTCAACAGGGTAGATATACAACCCTTTAAGTATAAATGCCTTTCTCCCCTGCACTTGCATAGCAGCTATTCATCTGAAGAGACACTCTTCCTTTGGCAGCAGGAGGCCAGGGTGGGGGGTGGGGGGCGGCCAGGGCTCTTAGAATGGCTGGTGGTACTTTTGCCCTGCTGGGGTCCGGGTTCTGTGTCCATTTGAGGAATCCTTTCTATTGCAATACCTGGGGTGCCCTGGTCTTCTAAGGGACTCCCTGATTTCTCAGACTGGGCTGTGTGTGCTGAATGCTGGCTGCGATGGGGTCAGGATCACAGGGGACGTTCCGGTTTCTGGTCTTCGCTCCTCTGCTGGCCATCCACCTCATCCCAGACAAACCTTCTCTCCTCCCCGGGCCTTGTTTTGTCTGTGTGAAAAGAAGAGGGTGCGCTCCCAACTCTGAAATGTCAATGATTCTCCCTCAACACCTTAACATTTGCTGAGGAACTTGGCAATGTTATACAGATAGAGGTGTCCTCCAAAGTTGAGCGTGAATCACATCCTTGTTATGAAACCACATGTGTGTAAAGCACAGAGCAGGGGTGGAATGTGAGTAACCAGCCTCCAGTTCACCAGGGACTTGTAGGTGTTTATAGAAGCCAGGAAGGGAGAGAAAGGGAGAGAAGGAGGAAGAGAAGAGAAGTGAGAGAGGAGAGAAAGGAATGGAAGTGGCTAAAAGTAGGCACTTTGGAGTCAGGAATGGCAAGTTTGAGTCTGCTCTTGCACTCATTGGCAGCAAGACCTTGGACAAGTCACTTAACCTCTCTGGGCTTCAATGTTCTCATTTGTAAAATGGGGATATGAGTTAATATGAGGAGTAAATGGAATTACATATTTGAAGGGCATACAACACAGTGCTGGATACCTAATAAGGACTCAATAAAACATAAGGTGGTAAGCAAAGAGGGAGAGAGAAAAGAGAAAGAAATGAATGAAGGTAGTGGAAATGTGGGGAGGGGAACCCGGACTGAACCCCCACTCAGCATGGGCTGGGGATTTTCAACAACATAACCACAAAGAACATACACAGAATCATGGAGAAGTCTGTCATAGAAATCCAGAGACTGGGCTGCTTCCTCTTTCCCAAATTTGAAGACATGAAGAGGCAGAGATGGGGATCATCTTTAGGCTACCCCCATATTCCTGTTGCTGACGCCTATGCTGCTTTGAAAGACACCCCAAAACAGTCAGTATGCACCCTTTGGAAGAGCACATCCCACATCACATCTGAGATCCACACAGACACACGCACAAGCACATGGTCATGAACACGCACAAGGCATTTTCAGAGGCTCACTTGCACGCCCTCCCTGCATTCGCATGCATACCCAACGAGGTCTGAGCGGCCAAGGTCAATGCTTCTCCTTGTGGGAATCAAAAGCAGTTACCCTTTTATCACTTTGAATTGATTATCTTAGCATTATTCAACCCCCCCAGTCTCCCCTGCCCGCCAGATGAGTCCAGCTCTTCTGTTACCTGCTGTCAAAGCCCGGAGCTTCCTTGCATGGCACTTGGCATAGTTCATCATCACACATGGATATGCACAGTTATTTGACGACGGTCAGCCTCCCCTCCTAGACCTGCTGCTTCAGAGCTTGGGGACCCAAGGCTATGAGGCTCATCCAGCACCTAGCGCCATGCACAGAGTAAGTTTTATAAATATGTGTCCGATGCTAAAATGAATAAGCGAACGCAACAACAAGCCTTTTCAAATGCAAGGTCGCAACACCTCAGACCCCTTCCTTGACCTTGTAGACTTACCACAGCTCCAGCCCTGCTCTGCCTCCAGGGCCTCAGCCCTCTGGCTCTCCCTGCTCTGGAGCTGACCTGGAGTCCAGAACAGCTACCTCTTTCTTCAGCAGTGACACTCAGGGCCTCTCTCCTGGAGGGCAGGCAGGTTCCCCAACTTTCGTGTCTATCAGTTAACATCCAGCTATTCCAAAGGGGCTTCAGGCCCGCGACCCCTTTCTCTTCTTCCATCTGCCATCTCAGCACCTTCTGTATATTCCTATACACCCTTGACTCAGGCCTCCAATCCCTTTGGAAAAATATTTACATTTCTGCCCTTCTTTTGGGGACTTCGCCTGTCTCTCTAATAAATAGAACATGAGCCTTGCCTAGTGCCCAGCCCTGGGGGCAGAACTGGGGGGAGGTCACAGGGAGCGCCGCCGCTCTTGCTTGCTGTCTGCTGTCAGAGTGCCCCTCCCACGCAGCCCTGACCCCCACTCCTCTGTGCCTTCCCCTCGTCAAATCTGCGGCCACCACCTCCTGGAGACCAGCTGCCTGGCTTCCAGACCAGAGCGGGCCCAAGGGGTTGATTAGCATATTATTGTGGGGAAGGAAGTCTGGAGTAATCATTTTTCCTATTGACACTAAATAACATTACCTGAAGGCTCCCCCACCCCTCCAGAGGCCAAAAGCAGCCAGAGAAATGAGAACCACTGGTCTCTCTCTTCTCTGCCTCCCTCCCCAACTCTGGTCACCCCTCCTCTTCTTTCTTGTTCTTTCGCTCTCAGTTTTCCTAGTACCTAGTACCCTGCCCACCTCCCCTCTCCTCAGATGCTCCTCTGCTGTTCTCTCCTCCAACACCCCTGCCCCCCTCTCTGCCTCCGTCCCTCCTCCTCCCTCTCTCAGCCTCCCTCCATCCTTCCCTCTGTCTCTCTTTCTTTCTCTCCACCCCTTGCTCTCTCCACCTTACCTCCCTTTTTAAGAAGAATGCAAACTTAGAAGTCGTCTAGGAAAATCTGACCCTCTCCTAAAACCGCCTGTGCCTCCCGTACAGCTGGGGGCGCCTTCACTGGGATGCTTTTGCTTTGGTCCGCCTGGAAAGCCATCAGAATGACAAATCTTAGGACAAATTACTGATTTCTCATCTAATTTACATCCAATTAGTGTGAGTGAAATGAATCATGTGGTCAGCCCCTCAGGGGAAACATTGAGATAACAAATGCCCAGGGCTTCTTTCCTAGGGAACTGCTGGGCCCTTGGGGAAGCCCATGATTTACCCCTCGGGTCAGAGGCTCCCTCCCTTCCCCCCAGGCAGGTTACCGGGCCCATAGATCAACCCTGCCCCCTCCCTGCCTCCGGGGCAGGCAGGAGGGAGCTCAGGCTGGGAGGGGGGCGGGGGAGAATGGGTGGGTGAGGACCAGATCTTCTGTTGATCCACAATCTTTGAGTTCCAAGTCAGATAAGAGTGCAGTGCTGAGTTTTTGCAGCAAATGCTGTCTCAGACTTGAGGCCCTCAGGCAAGCAGTCACCACTGCCCCTCACGAGGCAGGTGGCCCAAGGCTCCCGTGATCCTAACTGGCATTTGCTGCCACTCACCAAGTGCCAGCCCTGCATTCAGTACTTTGTGGCCTTGTGGCTCTTAACCCTCACCACAAAGTATCTCAGAGGCAGGTACCGACTGTGAGGTCCTCTACTCTGTAGGGAGGAAAATTGAGGCTCAGAGACGCCCTATTCAAGGTTATCAGTCAACAAGATACAGGGCTGAGGGTTTTGAACACTGGTGGTGTGATGCTAGAGTCCAGGCGCCGAACCATGGTGCTCTGCCGGCTGCGTCCCTTTGGCAGAGGAGAAAACTGAGGCTAAGAGGGATGAAGTCATTGGCACCACGGGAATTTCAAGTACAGTGGGAATCCTCTATGTGCTGCTCAGGGCACGGATGGAGCGCCTCTGAGGGCGGGCAGGTGGAAACCACTTCCGGGAGGGAGTGAGGACGGGGGAAACCACTTCCGGGGGCGAGTGCGAGCAGGTGGGAATCACTTCCGGGTGAGTGCAGGTAGATTACGGATAGGTTACCCAGGTTCTCCCCGCCGACCAGAGGAAACGAGACCAGAGCACACCTTGCTGTGACTGGGTCAGCTTCTTCACGCATGAGGCACAGCAGACGGAATTCAGAAATGTTTTTCTAAAACAAGAAGGATTACTCTCCGAATCGTTTGAAGTGGGAAGACAGGGGCGCGCAGGCAGGGCGGGTGGGGGGCACGGGTTTCTTGTCGGAACAGTGCAGTAGCGGCATGTTTGGGATGAGTTTGGTCTTCCTGTGTAAACTTGTTTCCAGTCTGCTATTTAAAACCTGGCATATGGATGGGATCTCAGCTTCCAGTACTGGCAGTTCTTAACATTCACAGCGACTAAATAAAAAGGGAATTTTAAAAACCAAATGCAGTTTTACCCCATAACGAGGCAAAGAGAGAACTACTAAGAAGTTAACAACTCCCGAACTTGGGCCCAGCCAACCCTCTAAATGTGGAGGCTTCTCCAAAGCAGTGTGGGGTGAGGAGGGAAGGGCCTGGCTTCTTTCGAGTCCCTGATACAGGCCTGGCTTTCTGTGCTGGGAGTTTAACCTTTGGGGCAGGGCTCGGGAAAGGGCAGGATCTTTGCAGTCAGCTGCCTGGCTCTGCCACTCACTACTGGGTGACCTTGGATTTGTTAGTCACGCTCTCTGAGCTTCAGTTTGCTCGGCTGTAACAGGCCCAAAAGAGGACCTAAACTTGCAGGACGTTGTAAAGACAACGTGAGCTAACGCTTGTAAAGCATGCAGCCTGACGCCCGTCACATACGAAGCATGCGAAAAAAAAACCAAAAAACAAAAAACAAAACACCCTATACTTATTACCTGCACATGCACTGGGGCAGTGAGAATTATTTTCCTCATTTTTCTGCTTCTGAGATTGGAGGTGTCCAACCCGTCTCTTTCAAGGGGTTGAAGATAACCAGTGGTCCCAGGAATGTGGTGAGCAGGGTAGTAGCAAGAGAGGCCTGGAAGGGGTGGGGGAGGGAAGGAGGAGAGAACAGCCCGGAGAGAAGGACGGGACTCCAGGAGGCACAGGACTTTGGCTACTATGGGCAGAAACGGAGTAACAAGGATCCTGGGGAAGCCACTGGCTTGATTCCTTTCTGGATCCCCAGTAACAATAGCAGTTCCGAAGTGCTTGTTAGGTGCCTGGCACTGTTTTAAATGCTTTATAGGTGGGGGTTGCTTCCCACATGAGCCTCACGGAAGTGGTATTATTTCTGAATAGGAAACAGGCTGGGGGAAGTGAAGGCCCAAGGTCGCACAGCTAGACAGTGAGTGATGGGCTGGGACACCAGCCGGAGCGATCAGGCTCCGGAGCCCTGCTCGGTTACCCGCCTCCACGAGCACCAGCTTTGACATCCGGGGGTGTCCTGATGCAGAGAGGGAAGAATTGTCCCCAGGGAGAAGTAGACAAGGTCCCTTTGGCCCAAGTAGACAGTCAAGTCAGCTGCGAGCCTCCCATCAGGTCCCTAGGGACAGCGCCCCCCCCCCACCCACCCATTCAGGACCCCTGCCTGGCACCTGACATTCAGGGGAAGCCATCTGAACCCCCACCGAGACCACCCCAGGGAGCAGACCACCACTCCCTGGAAGTGTGGCCGGTCCCCTCAGAGTGACAAAAAGTGCCTCGATTTCCTGCTCTGTAAAATGGAAAGGTCTGCACCTGGCACCGAGTTCTCAGTTCTGTTCTCGTTGTTACTGGCATTGTTACCAGGAAGGAGACGGAGGTTCAGAGCAGTGACGTGACTCGTCCAACGGAGCAGCAGCGGGCGAGGCCGACACCAAAAATGTTGAATTGGAGCCCGGCTAAGTCAGCCGGGCTGTGACTAGGACTCTGGGTGTGCAGGGTGTCTGTGGGGGAGTCCAGCGGTCAGAAGAACCATGACCCTGGTGATGTCGTCGGGGCATCTGTGACTCAGTTGTCCCAAAGCGCGTTGACACCCCGTCCCCACTCCTTGAGACACATGTCATCCCAGCTCCCCATTTCCCCAGAGCATCCCTTGGGAGGAAGAACTTTGTCCTGACTCTGAGACTGGCCCCGGGCGCCGAGGACGCGCCTGCTCCTGGCTCCTGCTTCAGAACCTGCCACGGCCAAGACTTATGGCCGCCTCGTCTCTCCCCCTCGCTGGGTCTGGCTACATCACTTATCTCCCCGACGCCGACCTGCCAGCAGCGGCAGGAGGCTCTCTCCGGTAAGATTTGATTAATGAGGTTCAGCAGCAACAAATCAGTCTCATGGAGCAGCCCTCCCCTCTCTGGGACACACTCGCACAACAGCCACTGCATACAAACCACCCGCGGGTGTGGGGCGGCCTCCCCGCCCTCCTGCCAGCCAGCCCTGGCTCTGCACCCCAGGCATCCGCAGGCCAGACCCGGCCGGACTCACGGCGCGCCCCCGCCAGTGGGCACCGCGCCCCAGGGCGAGCCAGAGGTGCTTGCTTTTTTTGCCTTATCTTCAAGATAATAATCGAATTAGTATAGTGATGTAAATCATAATAGCCACTGTCTCGGACTCGCTGTACGCGTGACACTTTGCTCAACACTTGGCGCGATTTTTATTTAATTAATCCTCTCAGCAACGCGATGGAGTGGGGGGATTGACTGCTGCCATTTTGCAGATGCGGGAAGTGAGGCGCGGTGGGCTGGTAACTTGCCCCAAGTCACACAGAGAGCGACAGAGCTCTGCATTCCGGCCTTTAATTATACTGTTCCACCCGTTCAAAGTCCTACGACCCTTTGGAAATAGGATGAAAGTTTAGGGATTTCTTGAAAAAATGCACATATCTATACACACGCTGCCACGCAATTTCAGTGTGTACAGATGCGCCCATCTTGAACCTCATCTGTCCTGAGGACTCTGCCACCCCAGCTCGCTCCCTGTGAAACTCAGGCGCAGCCCTCCCGCCCTGGACCCCTCAGTCTGCCCTCTCTCTCTGCCCCTGCCCCTGCCCCTGCCCCTGGAAGGACTGGGAACTGGAGTGTGGGGGTCCCACCTCCGAGGGCCCATCTCCCCTACCCTCTGCTTCAAATGCGGACACCTGCGTCCTGCCTCCTGCTTCCCAGTCTCATCCGCTCATTCCCCTTTAGAAAGTTGGAGTCCTTGGAAGGCAGAACTGTTTTTCTCTTTGAGCTTCCAACCACTCCCTGTGGCTCACCCCACTCCGGCCCTTCTCCTTACCCTGACTGTTTTATTGGAACTGTTTGCTTCTCAAGTAGTTACAGGAAGTCCATGCCCTACGTCCACTCCTCTCCAGCATAATCTATGCATCCTTCAAGTCCATGTCCCTCCAGCCATCGGTGACCTCTGGTCACCTTCCTGGGAGCCTGGGTTGGTAGGCATCCTACTCAGCTGCTCTTCCGGCCCCCCACCAGGCCCGATCCCCACCCTTTCTTGCATGCTGAGAGGGCTGTGGACCTCCCCCCTTCCGTTCCCCTCTCTACCTTCCCCAAAGCCCTCACATCCCAGAAACATTTGTCAGGGATTTGCCAATAGCCACTTTTTCATCTGCTGGGGCAAGAGTCATCTTTGCATATAGATGTTTTGTAATAGATGCTGCATTGATTATGTAAAGTTCTTTTGGGAATCGCCTGGCCATTTCTGGGTCCTCACTGACCAATTCCACCTCCAGCACACATCTCGGATGTCCTGGGTCACGGCGCCAAACTACCTGAGCCAGAGGCTGGGGGAGGAAGCACAGTCAAATGGCCACTCAGGTGGCGAGGACAGGTGGCTCCCCGCCCCCCAGATGGACTTGCATGGCCACCCTACTTTGGACAGGCCAGCTGAGGAAGGTCCATTTCACCTGAATATGGCTTGTTTCTCCGTTGAAAGTAATACTGGTGATTCTGGTGATGACCATTTTCGGGACTTTGCTGTGTACAAAGCAAAGCACTTTCTTCCATTAACTCCTACTATCCTCACTACAGCCTTGTGTGAGAGCGATTAGTATCATGCCCACTTTGCAGATACGGAAAGTGAGGCATTGAAAAATGATTTGCTCAGGGACGGCAACGTGTGGCGGTTCCGTCCCTTGACCCCTGCTCATCAGATTGTGACTGTGCTTTTTCTCCTGTATGTTTGCCTACAAGCCCATGTGGGGAGAGGGGCAGATATAAGACGCTCTCAGATGGTTCCGCTGGTCCCAGTGTCCTCAAGCACGCAGGGAATGGCACATGGGTCTGTGCATCTGTGTTGGAGGGAGGCGCGAATAGCTATGTGTGGGATATTTGGGAGTGGGTGGGTCTGTGCCTCCGTGCAGGCTGAGCGTGCATGTGTGAAGAAGTGGGCTGGAGTGCAGAGTGTAAGAGGGGGCGTGGGAGTGTATCCATGGGGGCGCGAGGTGTGTGGGGGTGTGCACACATGGGGTATTAGCCTCTGGTCTGCTTCCCCCTCTGAGAGATCATGCTACACTTCCTCTTTGGAGCCTGGAGCCGAAGGGTTTCAGCCTCTTAGGACAGAAGCCCAGATGAATCACCATTTGCGGACCATTTGGGGATGACTATATAACAAACATACATGCCCAGCCCCCTCAATAAAAGCTCCCCGTGCAGGCTCAGGACGTGCCCCAAATTTGTGGAGTCGG